CTACCAGTTGGTTGATTTCGTGCTTTGGTTCGTTTAAAGCATAGTACAACAGCGTCGAACATAATTCCACTTTTTAGTTTTAATCTTCCACTCAAATACAGTAGTACGCCGTATATTGTACTCAACGCTTCACAATCATGAACGGCACAGTATCAGTAATTCATAGTCTGCCGCCTCCCTGGATCCTTTAACCTCCGCTCTGCCAAACCCGTGGACTTCCGGATGCCATTTCGTCAAGGATTCCACACTCTAACTCTCTCGGAATCAAGGCGTACAGTCACATTGGGCATCGGGTGGACACGTGGATTGTGCGGTGGATCGGGATCAGGATGGATGGAAGTGCACAATCGCACTGGGGATGTTGCGGGATGGATTGTTTATATTGGCACGGCCAAGCATCGTTCGTGGGGGTGACGTGTGGGAGTAGGATCACACGCCGGGATGTACGTACGGATGCTGACTGTCCGCCTTCCACCTGCAACATAACGGATAATCTAGTCGATCTCTTCTGTGATTTGCTGTTCTCTTTTACTAGCGATGTATGTGATGTCACAACGCGGAGTCTATATAAGTTCTTGTTACTACTAATATCGGGAGGAGTAGTCTGAGATTTACTTCTGAGACTGCTTTCTAATTACAATTTCCTTGCGTTGTGGACTGTGAAGTGTATTAATAAAGAGGCTGCAATACTTGTTCCTTCTGATGTACATGATCGTTCCCGGATTATTGCATAGAATACAGGTTTGCTCGTGACACAATCGTCCTAGCTCTTTGTTGATCCTCATAGAAACTGCAACCGGAAGTTGTGATTGGAGTGTTCCTGCTTAGGGATTCCTGAGTTCCTGTGCTCCTGAGTCGTCATTTCCACCGTAGTTTATCTGTTACAGTTTGAGATGAGAGTTGCCTACCGATTGAGCATTACAGGCGTGGAAGAGAAAAGATTGTTCATGGAGCTCTAACCAGCGTGAACGCTTATACACGACAAAACACTATGATATTTTCACTACATAAGTTAGAAGTTCGACTCGGTTTGGGTACTTTAAAGTGTAAAAGTTACTGCTTTAAAGCTGTTATTTTGCGGACGCAATAACAACTCAAGCAGATTTTTAAATTTTTCATTCGAACACAGCAATGTGTTTGGATGGAATGATGTGAAGGCCGATAGCTCCGCCTTCATGATTGGCCATTCGCCATTGTGTTTTGCTGTTCTGGGGATTTCCATCCCACACATTGCTGCTGTTTTGGCGGACCTACAGCACAGCTGCGCTGGCTGTAGGATCCGATCTCATTAGTCGGTGTTTGTTGCGCCACGGTGCGCACCTTAGATTTCGGCATTAAAGCCTCAATCCGGGTTCGCCGCTGTTTCGCCGTCGAAGGTACGTGGGCGCCCATAAGGTCCCACGTAACAATGACTAAAGTATTGTGGAGCGATTTTTCAAAAAAACCCACCCGGTGCTGCAAAAAACAAACTTTTTTACACCCAAAGTTACTTTTTTTTATTTGCTAAAGAGTACATAAACATTTTCTATAAAAACGCTTCACAATTCTTTTGGAAAATGATCTTTCTGAAGTCTGATCAAAGCTAGAAATTTTCTGAAACCTTTGCGAATTGTTTTTGATTTTAGAAGCTGTTTTTCGAAAATTGTTCAGGATGGGACGAAGAACCTTCTTTTATACTGCGCTTTTCTTTGGTCTTACCGATTCTGCGCATGCACTGCCGCCACACTAGATAGTGGGCACACCGAAGAGTGGACTTTGGCCACTCTTTCAGGTGCGCTCCCGGGACAGCGCTATATGTTTCCATTGTCGGCAACGAAAAAACTTGAATAACTTTTTTCTTTTCACCCTAGTTTTACTAAACTTCCGTCCAGTAAAAGATCTAAGCTTTCTTATTACAACTGTAGAATTTCGAAATTCTCGTTTTCCATCTTGCGACCATAGTACAAATTCTCCTTAAGGGATTATTCCAGAGAATTTTGCTACCGAGAGTGTTACGTGTTTTGAATGTTCAGCAGGTGTCAAAAGAACACCGATGGAAAGGTCTGAAAAATCAAGGCTTGTCATGGCATTGACTATGGCGTATCATCAGCTGTAAACATATGTCAAGAGGACCTTGACGGTAAAGTTACAAAAAAAGTCGCAAAAATCAAGGCTACATCGTGTCTACTGTTGTCAACAGTAGCCACATGAAGGAACAATGCGGTCGGTTTTTTTCTTCCGTGGGTATTGTGCTATAGAGGTATATTCTACCGTAGCTTAGCGAAGGTCCCTTATTATTATTATTTATATTATTACATCAAGCGCAGACAACCCGCTAAACGGGACTTCAACGTCTGGTCGGTAAAAAGCTAAACAAAAAACAATTGCTAAAACAGATCAACAGTTCGGAGAGCAAATTTGAAAAACCCCACACCATCAACACTAAGTATCTGCATATTAACTTTTGTATGCGCTTAAAGATGTTCTTTAGTCGCATGGCCAGCGTGCTTTCTCCGATCTTCTTCTTCGCTCTGGCAGCAATTCTCGTTGGGTTCCGCAGGCTGTACCGCATTCCAAAATCCGTGATGTCGATCATCTCGACCATATACCGCGCCGAATGAAAATCTTAGTAGTTGTAGATCTTATACAGCCAGACCGCTTCAGACTGCTTCCAACAGTCGTACACCGGCAGGATGAGCAGTTTCTGATACAGCTCGGGTGTAACCCGCTCCTTGTAATCAGAAATCGCCCGCAGTGCTTTCCGCTCTGCCCTGTCTAACTTGCCGCGTAAGGCCGAAGATGCCGGCGACCACGCACCTGACCCGTAGTCAAGATGTGGTTGTACGCAGGTATGGTAAAGGCTCCTACGCTGAGGCAGATCTAGGCCGTCTTTACCGCGGTTGATCATTGCAGTACCATAGTTGACTTTCCGCAATACGTGGTCATATTGCACGCTCCACTTCAGGTTGCGGTCAATGTAAACTCCCAAATACTTTGCTGATTGTTCCGCATCCATCTGGTGACCGTTAATCATTACAGCAGGAGAGTGCTGGCTGTTTTTTGTTTCCGAGCAGATGTACTTTAGTTTGCACTTCATCTCGTTGATGAACAAGGTGTTGTCTGCAAGCCACGCCGTTACGTTGTTAACTTGAACGGTCAAATTCGCTGCTGCTTCTGTTTTGATAGCACCGCATCCAAACAGCGCGGCGTCGTCGGCAAAACATTCTGCGTCAATTCCGTTTGTCATGTCGTTCGTATAAACCGTGTACAGCACAGGCGCCATCAGTGTCCCTTGTGGCACCCCCGACCGCACTGGAAGCCAGTCAGAGACACGCGCGGTCATTTTCACTTTCTGCTTGTGACTGGTTAAGTAGCCATGAAACCACATCAGGACGTTGCCGTCGATTCCGATCATTCTTAGTTTTTCGATAAGTTTGGTATGGGACACTGAGTCGAACGCTTTTTTCAGGTCAAGCACACATACAGCAGTGACTTGCCCTTTATCCATCGCCTTTCGCAATCTTTCTGAAACTCTAAGGAGTAGTGTTTCGCAGGAGTGACCTTCCTTATATTCGGACTGCTTGTCGGAGAGGATGTTGTTCTTTTCAGAGCGGCCACTAGCTGATTCTGCACTACTTTCTCAAATGCTTTGGAGAGATTGCACACAAGGGAAATAGGGCGATAGTCATCCGGCTGTTGGGCATTGACTGTTTCGGTATTGCGACAACTTCTGCACTTTTGAACATGGCTGGATATACTCCCGACTTTAACGAAGCTTTGATCATGCATGTCACCGGTTTTGTCAAGTACATACTGATTCCTCCGAGGACTTTTGCAGGCATGCCACACGGTCAAGCGCTTTTTTTTTCGTTTTGCCATCTTTTGCAACTGAAAGGAAAAACGACATTCTCGGTGACTTCTTCAAATCTGCAAAGCGTACTGCTCATTGTCATGCAGTTCTTGTGCTGCAAAGTATGCGTTCAGCACATCTGGGTCCAGTGCTGGCTCTTCCGTCTGTTTTCTCTTCTGCAGTAATTTACCAAGCTCGCGCCAAATCACTTTCCCTTCATCTCAGTTGAGTCGGAAGAATTTACGTTTTTCATCGACCATGGCGAAGCGGACTTGATTTTTTAAAGCGTGAAAGTGATCGTTATACTGCATATATTCTGGTTGCCCACGGAATTGGCATCGAAGGCGGTAGGCTTGGTTCTTTTTTTTTATTAAGTGTCTTAACGACATGTTCTTCCAGGGTGGATCGTCCAGGCGAACCCTTCGAGATCTTAAAGGATAGCATTCGTCAACGATCTGGTTCAAATCACTGACATAATTCGTTATAAAATCCTCTATGGGGACTGACTCGTCATACACACAACTTTTCGGAAACTGCAGCAACACGCTGTTGGAACACTTACTCCGGTGTATGCTTCCGCAACTGGAACATAATCGTTTTATGGATAGGGCTGACAGACTTGTAGGACGCAACTGTTCTGCATAGTCTGTGATATGAATAACACACATCTTCCGCTGGCAGACAGGAATAACTTTCTGTTGGTGAACATAGCATAAGATCAATCTCCTTAGCACTGTGCATTAATGTGCCATCGTTTTTCCGAGTTGGACAAGCTATCCTGGTAAATCCCGTGACCGTATCAACAAGCGCACGGTTATTCAGTAAATCGCGATAATATCGAAAGTGGGGAGAAGAATGCACTGAAACATCAATGTTAATGTCACCACATTCCACATAATCGATACCAGGATAATTAAGCAACATATCGTCCACATGATTAAAAAGAAGGGTGACACTATAGACACCCCAAAAACCCCGGTTTACTATAGGCACCCTTTTTCCGCACCCCGTTAATTAAAGACACCCTTATCTTATTAATTGATTCTTTCGTGCACCCTTCTTTTTATAAGCACCCCTATGAAAAGTTAGCATATTATAATGTAATTGTAGTGTTAGAATCTTGACACGATATTATTAATTTTACTTGTGGCTTGAGCAGTTGAACATATACGGCCAGCGTGCTTTTGTTCATCGATAGTAAACCCGCGCATACTGTATGTGCATTAGGTGGTGGTGAGCGGTGACCGACGGACACCACTTTTTTCATAAACGCTGCACATAGATGACCTTCGCTACGCTTCGGTCGAATGTCAGGTTTAATAGATAAAGGGTAACTAAATTAAGCAACCTAAAATTTTTCTTGGAAAAAAGAACATGTTTGATTCATGTTTTTGCACTTTTTGAACGAGAATCCGACGTCACATTCGTGCGAAGTCTCAGCCCATTACCGAACGAAAAAACTTATGTTTTCTTATACGGCATCGGCAAGAATTTTGAAATATTTTTAATGTTAGAACCGCATGTCCCCATACAATCACCGGCAGAATCGGCGGTGTACAAGCCGGTCCGGAGTTAGAGCACGATAGAGAACAGCGAACAATGTGAATTCATGAGTTGCGCCAACTGTAGTGCAGTGGCTATCGACTAAGCGCTAACATCGCGCTTATTAGGCGTTAGCTGTTCTCTATCGTGCTCTAACTCCGGACGGGCTTGTACGTTTGGTACACTGGGAATGTAAGCTTTCACGAAAAAAAGTTGTCTTAGCGATACGCTTATGTGAGCGAGGAATTGTGGTCGGAAACGGAAACACTCAGGATCGAATAAAATCGTACGTTATAAGATCAGCAACTTCAACATACATCATCTCGGACCAAAAGCTAAAAGAAAAGCAGAAAAACTCAGCGAAGCGAAATCTATGATCCGTCGCTGAGAACTCCATGAAATCCGATGAGTGGCAATGAGTGGCAATGACTGCACAAGAGCGGCTTGTCAGCTCCGATTTGGCGGTCCAATCCGTGACGGACGTGAACTCTGAGCCCACCTCTCTGGCACCACCATGGACCCGGAAGCAGACGTAGCGATTGCCGAACCACGCCGGACCCCCCCCTAGCCCCACAACACGAAGCGCTATCGCCCACACAATTGATTGTCATTAGCAGTAGGTACGGTACGATTCTGATTTCCTTCGCCGGAGCTCAGATTCCCGCGCAGAGGCATTGAGGGCCCGTCGTCACTGCGCCTCCACAGTGGTGGCAGCGCATGGGACAGTCTTGCTTCCGGTGCGTCGATGACACTAGGACGTATTCCCGCATCAGTCCTCGCTTTCGTTCGCTTTTCTCGGCCAATCGGTGCTTTTCTAGCTTTTGTTGGATTGGCTCAGTCGCTGCGAGATTTCCTTCTTGTTTTCTGACCTCGCTTGACATTGCGCGTCAATTCTCGATCATTTATGCTACAACGGCTTTACGAGCAGTATCTCGCTCATTTTACGTGGGACAAATTGGTTCTTCGATGTTGTGTCTGCTTTGTTTCTTTTGTCTTTCCTTTACTGATTCTCTGTAAAGCAACAGCTCTGACCGTCTTGTACCAGATTGCTCACAGCCTTACACTACAAACTATGCATTTGGGCTGTGGTTCAATGAGTTTGCTGACCCACCCGTAAAATTGCAGTCGTCGGATTTGTCGTTTTCACTACAGTACAGTAGTGCATAGAATAAATGAGTTGGGACTCTTCAGTAGTGAACGGCTCCTGTTCTTTATGCATATTATAATAAACTATATTAAACAAATTATAATATTTTTGCGAGCTTTTGAACTGAAATGACATTTTTCATTCAATTTTTAAGCTGTGAATCTAAGGAGTAGTTCAACAGCTTTCGTTTTTCTAAAGCATTTAAAATTAAAGTCAGCTGCTAAAGTGATGGGGGCGTTGCATTATGCGCACCATGGCCTGGGCTGAAAATTCGTCATAATATTCCAGTGCCGATTTAAAAGTACACTTCACCATTAGTACTATTTTACTGAATGCATATCATGCTCTTCCTGCTAAATCTACGATAACATTGCCGTTCGGTTTTTTAAAAAAACAACAGTAGTGCAGGTTCCTGTAACTGCAATTACCAGAATTAGTGCGATTTACGTCGCTCACCAATGGTCTTGGTGATCTTTGTACCACTGAACCAGATCAGTTATTCCGTCTTCAAATGATACGGAGGCTTTCCATCCTAGCGCGTGCAATTTGCTACAGTTGACCGAATATCGACAGTCATTATAAGGGCGATCCGGAACGTAGCTTATCCAGTCTTCCAAAGGCTCGTCTTTTCCAACTATTTTTTTAAGCAGAATTGAAGCTATTTGTTTCACTGAAATCTCAAATTCGGTTCCGATATTATAAGTTCCTCCTATACTGCCTCTGTGCATGATGGTTTCAATCGCTCGACATTTGTCCAAAACGTGTACAAACCTTCTAACCGAATTTCCATTGCCATGGACCGGCATCCTCTGCTTTTTCAGCAGCTGCATTGTAAATTTTGGTATTACTTGTGCTGGATACTGATATGGTCCATACACATTATTGGCTCTCGTAATGATGTACGGAATGTTGTACGACTTTCCGTACGACATCACCAAGCACTCTGCTGCAGCCTTCGATGCTGCATACGGATTCGTAGGAGAGAACATTGTCCCCTCCGAATTTGAACCTTCTGGAGTTTCACCGTATACCTCATCCGTTGATATATAGACAAAAAGTTCAGCCGTCTTTAATATGCGTAGGCATTCCAAAAGCGTATGGGTTCCCAAAACGTTCGCGTTCGTGCATTCTATAGGAGTCGAGAAGGATTGATCAACATTCCCCGCAGCCGCAAAATGAACGACATGTGTTGGCTGTTCCATATCAAAAATCTTTGCTACAAGTTCTCGGTCCAGTAGATTTGCGTGCAGAAAACGATAATTTTTATGTGATGGCTGTTCAATGTTTTTTATATTGGCTGTTTTCTCGAGAGAATCGAGATTTATTATTCTATCCTCCGGATATTTTTTGCTCCAGTAATTCACAAAATTCGACCCAATAAATCCACATCCTCCTGTAACTAAAATCTTCGTTCACGATCTGGTGTAACGTTGAATTTCGCTCTTGTGGTTATTATGTCGGTTATCCGCTCTTTTATATCCAACAATTTATCGCTGATGGCGTACTTTTTTCGAATCATTGCTGGCATATCACGGATCCATTCAGTTATCAGATCGGTCTTCAATGCTGTATTGGATCGGCCAGCAAGAAGCACCGTTTTCAGCTGATCACTTGTCACAAGCTCATGTTCGTGTTTTTTTCCAGTCTGTGCCTCAAAAATGCGTATGATGGTAGCATGGTCCACAACACCGGGGTTAACTGCATTTATAACCCCACGTTTTCCCGTAATTAAGCTACCAATAAGCACTGGCAATATATCGGGGAGAACAGTAACAGAATTTGGAACGGAATGAATTTTTTTGTACGTAAGCAACTTTGTTACCAAGTCGCGGGGGTGTGCGTCTAATACAACTGGTAAACGAATTCTAGCGGTCATAACATGGGGGAAGTTTTTCATTATCTGATCAGTTTGGCTCTTTACCAAGGAGTAGGAAGCAGCGAAAAAGTTCGGAGCTTCGTTTTCCGCAAATCCAACGGAGCCAATCGGATGGTCGTCATCGTATTCGAAAATGCAGCCTGTTCCAATATACAACATCGGAATACTTCCTTGCAGTTGGGTAGCCTGAGCAATAAATAATGGTGCTGACATATTGCAGGTTATATTTTCCAACAACTTCCCTTTCTGTTCCAAATAGTCCGCCGTTGGGAGAGCTGGGGTTCCTATTCGTCCCAAGCTGCAGATCACGAAGTCGGGTTGATGCTTTTCCAAATCCTTAAGGACGTCGTCAATTGTGATCACCCGTCGACCTTTCAGGACCGTATCTCCACTAGCGAGTAACACATTCACTACTGCTTTTCCGATCCATCCGTCTGCCCCATAAACCAGGAAAGTCATTTTCAAACTAAGCGCTACTAATTATTTATAACTAGAAACTGGAAGGCCACGGTTTAATTCGCTTCAAAAAATTTGCTTTGCAATAACTGCAGCAGCACACCGGATTTGTTTAATCGACGAGTACTTCTTATTAGCTTGCAACTGCAATCTATGCAGAAAGGAAAGCTTGTTGAGTTATAAAACGAACTTTCTAGCTCGCTTATCAGCATTTGCAGAATAAGACTTAGGGCAACTTTGCGTTTTTCAGATTATCGCGCTGAATTGCCCCAGCACACCACTTGATATTGTGCAACCATCCCACTGACTTCGGCATTATGCAACCATCCCTGAGGCCTCATCACTGCATCCAGTATGTAATTCGATAACAATTGCCGTCTCTCGGTACCTGCGTTAGCAAACCATGGTCAGTTTCATGACAATTTTCGCGAAAGCTACCATACTGGTTTTATAATTTTGCAAACGGCTTACATAATCATTGCAATACAAACTGGTAATTCCTTTTCTGCTACATTACCAGTCGGCATATCAATTTGTAGGACGCCCAAATGTATTACTTTGAAACAAATGAAAGCTAAACATTACAGCACTACAAGCTCATCCACTCATCCGATCAAACTTCCCCGCTCCCTCATTGCACAGAGACCACGTTATCCCGTGGCCCGTGTATCTTCAATGAAAGTCGCTGACGAAGAAATTCGTGAGACCGACTTTCTCCGGTATGCCTTCGCAGACGCTTTCTTATATCTTTAATAATGATGCTAGCCCCCACGGGCCCGAGTCGCGCGGGCTATGGCAGCTTAGACGTAACAGCCATCCGGGTACGAATGCTTCCATCCAGCCAGCCTTGACTTCTTTTCTTCTGCCTGTGCGGCGGCTGATCCTGCCGTTGTATATATGGAATTGACTTGAGAATCAGCGACTACTCTGTAGGCCGACACAAGTCACATCTTAAGTCATACGCATTCCTCTTTGCCAGCAAGAGTTTTATGGATTTCCAATTACGTCATCCACATACAGATAGATTTGGAATCGTAGCTTTGGAAAACATCGATTCTCGATTTCAAAAACGCCGATTGCGACTTTGCCAACCCGGATGTTGGACTTCGAAATTTGTTCAACTGTTAATATTCCAATTTGCCCATTCGATTATGTACACCTACCGTAATTTGAGTTTCCATATAATTTACTGGAACTGGCCTTAAACTGGCGTGCTCGCCATACTGTATGCGAAACTTGCCGTTGGCGTTGTTATTGTTTGGATGCCTTTAAGTTCAAAACCCAACGTTTTTGAATGTTCTTAAGTTATCTAACGTTTTAATTTTGCGGGCTGGACTAACTTCGATGTACTGTGTGAACTTTATCCGGGAAGGCAGACCCACCAGATTTCGCCAGAATTCTGGCTGCGTGTGCTGGACGATTTGACGTCAGGATCGTTTAGTTTGGTCAGGAGGAGCCAGCAACACGGACAAACCAACTCTCCCTTCTCCAGATGAGTTGCACACTGATCCATTATTAACAGGATTGCGGCGGCTCTCAAATCGCTACAAATCAGGGATAGTTTGCATTGCAGAGGCAATAAAAATGGCAAGCGGTTTGAGTCAGACCCCGTCTGGCCTGCAGACCGTCCTCTGCAGCGCTCTTGCAGCCCGGTCCAAATCGCCTTTTTGAACATGTAGGTCCTGGTCGTCTGCTGCGCTCCCTGCTCCCTATCAAAAGACACAGGAGAGGGCAAAGTCGCTCGGACTGGTCAAAACGCATATGGTCTGAGTGTAGAGCGTAAGTGTATGTAAGTGAATGTGAGTGAAAGAGCAGTCCACATGTACCCCGTTTCCCCGTGTTATTGTATGCGATGGCGCACGTTTTGTTTCGCAAGTCTTTTTCATGCAGCAGACCAACGACGTCTTTCTGTGCCAGACGGCAGCGGCATTTGGAATGCAAACCTTGGCTGCTCTGCAGCGATTCAGAGCCGCCGCAGTCCAGTTATTAGCTCATGTAGTTCCCGTTTCCAGCAATTGTGAAGGGAGGCCTGCGTTACGGATTTCAATCTGTTCGTTCCACTATCTACAGCAAGCCACCGTTTTATTTTCGAAAGTTTCAGCGATGTTTTGAGAAATGGTGTACAGAATGTAGCAACTTACGTTAAACGTTTATGAATATTATATTTTGTTGTTATTTTACTGCGTTTTCCAGTTCTGCCATGGACACCTTCCTTTTCGCACACTCTGTTGTCAGGCGCGTGGACAGGGAGGTAATTGTTTATAACATGCCTGTATTTAGACAACTTTGTGAATTCGCTGTGCACTTCCCTCTGAATCGTTCGAGAAGTGCTTGTATTCATGAAAAAGCTAATTAAGTAGCCTTTTTCATAGTTATATGTCAAAACGAAAACAAGAAACAACCCAAAAAATGGTAAACAGTGAAAGCTACTAATAAAAAATTCCTACTACGCACCGAATGGAAAACGATCACAGTCTTGAATTTGCAAAAAAAAGAACAAACCATTTTACATACTGGATTTGAGTGGTTTTGAATGTCTTCGCCAAAGAAAGCAGAACGGGACTTTTGAATGTCATTATACCTCTTTACTGCTTTGTGGTGCTGCCATACAAGCAAAACTTTACCAACAATAAAGAAATTAAAGCCCAATATGCGAAATTTTTTTTTCTATGGTTTGACACCAGGACAACAGGGAACCAGTGTTGGCCCGTTTTTCAACGGGACCGGAAACTAACGGAAAATTCTCCCGTTCCGTTGCCTGTTTCCGTAGAATTACGGGAACGGGACATGCGCTTTACGGAACGGGCCGGGCCGGGAACTTGTTAAAGGAGTTTACGGGAAAAATCCCGTTTCCGTTTCAGTTTGATAAAAAACAGAAATTAATTAAAATTAATTGTTGCGTTTTATAATAGCGAGTTACATAGTACTTGTACATTGTACATACCAATAGCTTACCATCACAGTTAAGTTGGAAATGGTAAATGGCAGTCTTACAAAATGCTAACAGTGCTTACTGCTTACGTACAATACTTAATACACACTACACAGTACACAGTACACACCACACAGTAATCGCTAGCGCCGCCT